CCATGCACTGCACCGACCCAGTGGGCCTTGGAACTGATCCTCCCACTGGCTTCGAATACTCCTCTGACCGCTGCTTGTCTGTAAGCAAAGTCTTACACGCCTTGTCCGGCGTCCTTCCGGCGAGGCAAGCAAATCTTGCTTTGCTTCCTCATAATATGTTCTGACGGCGATGCGCTCGGCCATCCTCTTGAGCTTTTCGTTAAACTCTGTGCGGAGCGCACACTCTTGCCGTCTAGCACTGCGCTCTTCAAACTCCTCGCTCTGTCGGAGCCTCTTCTCCACGTATTCTCTCAACCTATCGCCTTCAAATCCATACCGACTGCCGTTGGCGATAAAGCTGGCTTCAATGATCCATAGTTCCTGTGCCATGCTCGCTTCGTATCCTGGCGTGGTCGCCAAATGTTGTGAACCCTCTGGTTCTCTAAAGTATCAGGAACGAACAACCCCATAGCGGCAGGCTTCGCGTGTTGCTGGACTCGGGTGCCAAGGCGTCATCTGTGACTGCAGCATTGGTGTCCACAATCGATGCAGAGCACGTTGGAGTTGAGAATGTTGAGGTGAGGCAGTTCAGTGCGGAATCAACCCAACAGCGGATGGATAAGTTCGCCATCACGATCCTGGGTAGCTCCGCAGTCATTCTGGTATGTGCTCTCGTGAAGCCAACGTTAGAGCTTCATCTGAAGTGCGCAAGCCCGCAGACCGTTGCTCAGTTGGCAGAAATGGTGAGCACTCGTAATATTCCACCTTGGTCACCGCCACAGCAGCGGATGACTCGTTCTGGGCGTGTAGTCAGAGCCCCGATCGTTTTTGACTTATGAGTTGTTGTACTGCGGTGAGAAGCCCTTTGGTGGGGAGAATGTTGTGAAACCACAAGTTCTCGAGAGTGAAAGGCCTTCTCGCTTGTGACATTGTGTTCGTTTTAATGCAGTTGTATCCCGACTCCGCCGTACCGCTGATGATTACGACGTAGTATACGCTACATGCGCTATGTGCGGTTTGCTGTGTGCGCTGTAGTTGTATGTTGTATGTGTATGCTTTTCTCATATACGCTGTCATTTCCACGCTATAACTACCTGGTGATTTTAGTGTTAGTTATTCAGTTGTTCATTCAGTCATTCATTGTTCATTGTTATTAGTCGATGGAAGTGAAATATACTGTTGAGAATAAATAGTTGTCCTCGTGCCGCTGTGGGGTCGTTCGTTCCTGATACTTTAGAGAACCTGAGGGTTCACAACAGTGACTGAAGCTCTTTCTGATTGAATAGATGAGTGGAGTTCCGGACTGAAAAATGCAACTGGGGTGTTGGCAACACCAGTATTCCACCCCCCCCCCCCCCCCCCCCCCCGTTATTACCATGACGTGGGTAAGAGAGAGTCACACTACTATTTTCTGAAAGTAGACATACGAGTATGTCCTGTGCAGGCTGTGCTGCTCAGTGTAAACAAGTACAATCTCTGTCGGGAGGACGACTGCACTCTCTGCGGATATAACCCCTTACATTATGTCTAAACCACGGAAGAACTACTCGTGTACTGTACAGTTGAGTGTAGTGCAAATATCGATCAGGCTGAGGCGCAACATGTCTAACTACACTTAGTAATTGTAACAAGCTCTGGAATAGGATCAGGGATAGGATCAGGGATAGGATCAGGGATAGGTTCAGGGATAAGATCAGGGATAGGATCATTGTGCTTCCGACATACTAGTAGTAATGCCTTTTCCTTTTCCTTGAACATTTTTTCAACGAGTACAATGTAAATGCAGAGGAGGCGTGCATGCGCGGCTAAACATTTCATTACTAGTACCTACGGAATGAATGACTTCTTACCGTTTCCGTGCGCGACGACAGGGATGCTGGCTGCACGGGCGTTGGGAATGAAAACTATCAGCATCGCAACAAAAGTCACCGACAACAGCTGGAGCGGAGAGGTGGACGAGCCAAACCCAAGAAACGCCATCTCCAAACGTGTTGAATATTCCTTTCAGCTAACGAGCCCACAGCACTGGATCTATTCGTAACAGACTGAGTCAGTACGTTCTTCCGCTACACCACTGAGAAACAGCTTTTCAATTTCTCGGCTTCGAGTCGACAACAGAGTCAGTGCAGCAAACACTAAAATAGTGTGTCGTGTTGTTTTCAACCTCGTCCTCGACGCAGTCAGTCACAGTCACGGAGAACGCACGGCGCACCGCGCACTCTGCAGTCCGCACGTCATGTCAGAATACGGTGGTCAATCCGTTGATCCCCGAGCTGCAGAGAGTGCTCAATGTCAGAGACAGAGCTTAGTACATAGCAGACTCAGCGGAGGACGTTCAGGTTGGTTGTAACTCTGAGTTTCTTGCCGCTAGGCAATCATCAGACAACTGATACTCGGGTCTACCCAACAGTATGCTTATAAACACATAGAGCCACAACTAACTTCACACACACACGCATAAACAAATTTAGCGCTAAATCTGGTGTGAGGTATGGGGAGAAAGCTGGCGCGGGCCAAGGCGCGACAGGGGAAGTGCCAGGATGGTGGCGGGCAACAGGCAGGTGTGAGCATGAAAGCGCGGAAAGAGGCGATGGGGAGGCAGTGTACAGCAGATGGGTGGAGGTGCCAGGAGGGTGGCGGGCAATGGGCCAGTGAGATCGCTACAAGTAGGGAGTCGTTTGGTGACGGGCAGGCGTGAGCAGAGTGGCATCGCCGACTACAGACCAAGGGATTTTGTTATTAATAATAATGGGTGCTCAGGCAAAGTGCAGTACAGATAATTTCGTGAAGTCCAGATGACTCAAAGCGCCAAGAATATGGAGACTGAATACGTCAAATCCGTCGATGGGTTCGCCTAAGGGGCATGGGTCTAATCAACCCGTGCGATCTCGCCAGCCAATTTGATGACTCCAGGACCATCACGCAGCCATTGGTGGAGCGGATAATCGTGCAAAACACGGACCTAGGTAATGTCCACCACACCATGAAGGCAGAGAAGGCGAAGGTGCGCAGGATCCACTCCGTAAGGGAGAAGGAGACCCTAGTCGCTGTGGAAGAGAGCATCAATTCGGACTTAAAGCGGTCCAGGGAGCTGGCGGCGGAGAAGGGTGCCTCGTCGTGGCTGACATGCAAACCACTGAAGATGTTTGGCTTCATGCTATCCAAGGGCGCATTTCATGATGCGGTTTCATTGCGATATGCTGGCCTCTGAAGCGGTTGCCCTCTGCTTGCAGCTGTGGTGAATCATTCACCGTGGCCCATGCTCTCTCCTGCTCAACCGGCGGCTACCCTAGCCTCCGCCACAACGAGGTACGCGACCTCACAGCATCCATCATGAAGGAAGTTGCGCACCAAGTTGTGGTGGAACCGCTGCTAGAGCCGCTAACAGGTGAGAGGATGACGCTACGGTCGGCTTCAACTGAAGACGCCCGCCTGGACATCGATGACAGTGGAGTCTGGGGAGGTCGGTACGAGCGTTCGTATTTTGATGTCCGGGTTTTCAACCCCCACGCCCCCACCAACGCCAAGTTTGCTTTGCCCGCTGTGTACAAGCGACATGAGCAGGAGAAGCGTCGCCGCTACGAGGAACGGATCACCAACATCGAGCACGCCTCCTTCTCACCAGTTGTCTTGTCCTGCACTGGAGGGTATGACAAAGCTGCAACAGCACTCTATGCTCGGCTGACATCGATGCTCGCCGACAAGAAGCAGGAGCCGTACTCTGCCACAATCTCCTACATCCGATGTAAGCTCAGCTTTGCCCATATCCGTGCTGCTGTTGCCAGTCTGCGAGGCCATCGGCACCGAGTGCCCTCAGATGCAAACGACTCGGCCCGACTTGCGGTTGCCATGAGCAGCATCGGTTAAAGCTCCCTCCCGAGGCTCCATACTAGACTGTTTTCACAGCCATTTTGCTCTCTCGACTGTTTTCACAGCCATTTTGCTCTCTCGACTGTTTTCACAGCCATTTTTGCTCTCTCGACTGTTTTCACAGCCATTTTTGCTCGTTTTTCTTCCGGTGCTGTTGAGGCCGAGGTTGCACTCGTAATTGTGTTTATTTTGCCCGTACGAGAGGAGTTTTTGAGATACTTATAAAAACTATAAAAAAGTACCCCCAAGACTGCAAGAGTGTGCAACTCCAGCTCGGCAGTTTACACTCTTGGGGGTTATGTACTCTTGCTGTCAGCATGAGAGTATTGTAGCAAGAGTTCGGTTTTTGCCTGCTTCTTGTTCTGTTTTGTATGTGCTGCATCTCTCCCTATGTTTTGGCCAATGGACCCTTGCCAGTCTTGGTTGCAGGAATAGTGACTGCTTCAGTGCATCGTACCGATGTTCTTATTTCCAGCATGACGATTTACTGTCCATCTCAGACTTCTTCAAGACTGTTCACAAGACTGCTATTTCCCTCTTCTGGCACTGAGACAGTGCCATTTCGCCCAGTACTAGTAGTTCTACACTTCATATCCATTTCACTGACATGTACAGGGTACATGCAAGACTACAGTCAAAAGTAGGGGTGAAACGATTGTACCAAATACACAATACTCGAAATAGAAATTGCTACAAGCTATCGAAAAGTTTCGTTTACTCGGATTATCATTATTTTTATCCACACAGTACTCGTATACATGATTATAAACGTATGATTGTAGATAGACCGCTGTGCGAGAAAAATTCTCTTCTCCACAGGATCAATTCTGAAATTCTAAATCTTGAAGTTAATTTTCGCATTTTTCAGCTTCTAATAGTAATACGGAAGAAATAATCGAAAAATAACCGATAACCGATCGATAAAGGTTTAGGTTACTGTAGTATTCGACGGTCAAAAAGTGTAATCGTTTCACCCCTAGTCAAAACTTAACAGAAGCCAAGAGGTTGTGTATGTAGTGTACTCTTAGTACATGTACATGTACATAACTGTACATGTACATGTACAGTTATGTACATGTACATGTACATGTACAGTCATGTACATGTACATGTACATGACTGTACATCCACTTCAAAGACAAGCCATGTACTGATGTAGTCATGCCCAGGGAGTAACGAAATTCGGAAATTGTATGAAGGAGGTGCATGTAAGCACACTGTACAGTGTAGTTCAAAACAGAATGCCGACCAGTCAAACATATACACAGTACATGTAAGTACATGATTGATGCCAGTGGAGAAAGTAGCATTTTACGAAGCAGGACATGGAAAGGAAACTCCACACACCGGCACTAGCAAGAAGAAGCAAAGAAAAGAATGCTGGATCGTTGGTCAGCGGAAATGCAAAAGAAAAAGCACAGCCACGCACGTGCACATACACACATAGCATCACAGCACATGCTCCAACAGTGACAAAAGAACAATGCCAGAACAGGGTCTACTGCTGTACAGAGAAACAGCGACAGCAGCGGCAACAATTATTACAGGGCAAGTCTGGCCATTAGTTAACAGTAGTAGCCAAGTCAAAAAGTATGTCAAGGAGTTCTTTGCAAACGAGTCCACAAACCTACAGACTGCAGTACAGGCGAATATGAAACATTCCTAGCCAAACCCTACAAGAAATGCCGTCCACACACGCACGCACGCACGCACGCACGCACTATCTCTCTCTCTCTCTCTCTCTCTCTCTCTCTCTCTCTCTCTCTCTCTCTCTCTCTCTCTCTCTCTCTCTCACACACACACACACACACACACACACACACACACACACACACTCTCTCTCTCTCTCACACACACACCCACACACCCACACACTCTCTCTCTCACACACACACACACACACACACACACACACACACACACACACACACACACACACACACACACACACACACACACACACACACACACACACACACACACACACACACACACACACACACACACACACACACACACACACACACACACACACACACACACACACAACCACACAACCACCACCACCACCACCACCAGCTTTGATCAGCAGAGTATGTGTTGCTACCGCTGAATGAGTCTTGAAATTTCACTCGCCTGTACCAGCAAAAGCACCCATCGCCTGTGCGACGGGTACTACATTCTAGAACCACAAAAAAACCATCTGACCTGTTGAGTGGTGGGCAAGGTCTGTGTCATGGCAACCATGGGTACAATGCAGTGGGCAAGGTCTGTACCCATGGCAACTAACAATCCACAATGGAGTGGGTCAGGTCTGTACCCATGGCAACCATGGACACCACACCTGCCAGGCACAGTGTTGACACACGTTGACGGCAAAGCAGGTCTTGAGCCATAGCCACAGTGTTGCGTTCAACACCACTGGCATTGGCACCGTCAGCAGCAGCAACATTCAACAGCATTGGACAGACAGAGCTAGCCAGAGACTGGCGTGGTGCTAGTAACTTATCAAGAGCGGACCAACACAGCGAAAGCGCACTCACACGACGACGCGCGTCCTTGTGAAGCTCCTCCTCCGATGATGGTGGTGGGCGAGCGAGCACAGCGTTAACCTACTCCGGCGGTGCAGCCCAGAACGGTCGGCTAGCGGAGCTGGCGGCGGCGTCATCGTCAGAATCCGAGTCATCGCTGTAGGCGCTCAGCGAGGCAATGCCGGCACTGGACACCGTTGTCGACGTCACTGCCGGCTTGGCCTTCTTGGCGTTCATGGGAATGGACGCTACTGCCGGGCGTTTCACACTGCTCGGCCCTGCATCCAATAAGATGTTAGTCAAACGAGAGAGAGGGACAGGGAGAGAAAGGGAAAAAAGACAGCACACACACAAAGCAAGAGCAGGAAGCAGGCCAGAAAGGAAAACATACACTTCCAAGCCACATGCCAACACCAGCAGCAGAACCAGGCATCACAGGAGGGAAACAGTCGAAAACACAAGACACGATAACACGCATACCAAAGCACGCGTGCACGTGAGCAAGCAAACACACACAAACACACACACACAGAGAAAGCAATGCACCAAACACGCACAATAACAAGAGAGCAAGGTGAAGCCACTTAGAGACGAAATGGTGAAGATAGCGTACGGCAATGGCATGGACGACGGTGACGCAACGCAGGCACACCAACAGCAGAGGAGGTCGTTGGTATCGTTGTCATTGCATGCGCACCAAGAACAAAGCACAACAATTTTCCAACGGAGATGGAATGGAGGGCGTACATGCACACACACATGCACATACACACACACACACACACACACACACACACACACACACACACATATGCACGTACACACACACACACACACACACACACACACACACACATGCATGTACACACACACACACACAATCGCACATATGCACGCACACGCACACACACACACATGTACATACACACGTGTACACGCACATACACGGAGGAGGGAGCAATACACAGAAGAGGACGATGGCGTGCACGAGCCAACACACTTGGCGACAACAGGCATACACACACACGCACACACATGAAGACATGCACTGATGCATACGCACACACGGAAGAACACACACAGCATAAACACACACACACACGCACGTAGAAACACGCAAGCATTCTCAGCTCACAGCAGACACAGAGGACAACAGAAGAGATACACACAGAACAGAAGGCAGAAAGTTAAGAATAGTCAAATGCAAACACACCAACAACAAGAGCCTAGCCCTTGTGCGGCACGAGTAGCTACCAACGTCATTTTCAATTACATCATTGCTTGAGCTGCTTTTAGCGAGTGACATCACTAGTGCTTGCTAGTCACTCCAGCCATTCATGATGACATCATTCGGCTAGCCCCCATACGTAAACAGAAGTCATCAAGATGATGACTAACTGAATATTATCAAGAGTACATAACCCCCCAGAGTGTGCAACGCCTGATTCAGCTCTGCATAGGGTCTTGGTCGAGCGTAGTCGGATCTTCTGATGTCATGCGTACTCTTCACACCAGCGCAAGGCCGGTCTCGAGGCAGGGCACCGTTGTTTTTGATCCGAGAGTACCCGTGACTCCCCGGGTTCCCCTCAGATGTGTATTATGACGCAAAGATCCGACTACGCTCGACCAATACCCTATGCACAGCTGGATCAGGCGTTGCACACTCTGGGGGGGGGGGGGGGGGTTATGTACTCTTGATACTAGTTTCCTAAGTGAGGTGATGGTGCAGGTAGTAAGACAGATGAGATAGTAAGACAGACAGTAGGACAGAATAGACAGAGCAGACAGTAGGACAAAACAGATGACACAGACAAGAGCGGGCCACAGGCAGCACAGTCAGCAGAAAGAACACGGAGCGGAGAAAGGATTGAAGACAGCAGCCGGGACAGACGAAGACCAGCAGCAATAGCACTGACCTGAGGCAGGCACGCGTGTCGTCGACACCACTTTCCACTTGCTGCGATCGGAGAAGTTCGCCGCTGGTTTCGGTGCTTCCGGTGCAGGTGCGGGCATCGGGCGAGTGGGACCGGACTGTCGTGCCTCTCGCTGAGATGAGCTTTGATTGGTCTCCTGGCCGCTCGGTGGCAGAACGGCCGGTGCGGTAGAGTAATCGTGACTGTCTGGCGGCGGCGGCGGTGGCACTGGCTGGGACGAGCTAGGCGTTGTCGTCGTCATATCCTGCCGTGGCTGTGATGCCGTTGAGTCCTTGGACGTGTGTGGTGGTGGTACCGTGCTCATTGACTGTGCCATAGAGTACGGCTGAGCTGCAGGCTACCCAGCGGAAACAAAGCAGCAGCAACAACACACATGCATGCAAGAGCGCGCACACACCCACATCCGCACACGCGCACACACACATACACACACACACACACGTATAGCAGCAACAGCAGAAGAAAGATCAGCTCCACAAAATAAGCAACATCTGAGAAAAACAAAACGAACATCACTGATTTACTCCTAAGTGTGGGCACGAGAGAGAGAGAGAGAGAGAGAGAGAGAGAGAGAGAGAGAGAGAGAGAGAGAGAGAGAGAGAGAGAGAGAGAGAGAGAGAGAGAGAGAGAGAGAGATAGAGAGAGACAGAGAGATAGATAGAACGAGATAGATAGAGAGACCAGAGGCATAACCAAGCAACGTACCGCTTGGGTAGCTGTGCTAGTTGGAGCTGCGGTAGAGCCCTGTTAAAGCAACACAACACAACACAGCACATGACAAAAAGGAGTATAGATCCACAGGTAAACATATAGTCAACACATGCATGGTGTCGATCACATGCATGGTGTCGATCACATGCATGGTGTCGATCACATGCATGGTGTCGATCACATGCATGGTGTCGATCACATGCATGGTGTCGATCACATACATGGTGTCGATCACATGCATGGTGTCGATCACATGCATGTGTCGATCACATGCATGGTGTCGATCACATGCATGGTGTCGATCACATGCATGGTGTCGATCACATGCATGGTGTCGATCACATGCATGGTGTCGATCACATGCATAAAAGGACGCGCCATCGCCTGTTTGTGTTGCGACTTCAAATAAAACTGAAGCACAGCAACATGCAAAGTCCAAGAACCCAAAGTCGGAGAGGGCAGGTTGTGGCATAGTGGCCATATCTCTGGTAAACACAAGAGGCAGGAGAGACTCTCTCGCAGCACCCATCCAGCATATCATCACTTGTGGGGGGTTCTGTGAAGAGTGTGTGAGTTGCCGTCAGTGCTGGCAGCTGGTAGACTTAGATAATGTCACACGTTGCTGGACAGATCCTGGCCAGGATCCAGTGCACATCCCACACAGAGCAGCAAAACTTCGGTGCAAGTTCATACGCACTCTGGGGTATACCGACTGTTCGTCGTCGGTTGTACAGCTGTGTACGCATGTATTGAATACAGGCTATTAGGAAGGGGGGGGGGGGAGAGAAGATCAGGTAGGATGGCAAATCTTTCGTAAGGGGTGGGGGTGAGGTCAGCCAGGAGTGTGACTACTTGGCAACGTCGTGGCCTGCAAGGGGAGTGCGTAAGCTGACAGCTGTACACGGCACAACACATACTCACCGATGCTAACTTCTCCATGAATCTACGCTTGGGCGGCTCGGCCGGAGCTGCTGGTTCAGGTGGTGGAGGCGGCTGCTGAGTTGCTTGGCTCTCCGTCGCGGCCGGGGGAGGTGCAAATGGCCTGTACAGGAAACGACGATGAGACAAGACATCATGCCGAACAAGCAATGTTTGAGCAACAGTGTACGGAATTAATAATAATGCATACGAAATATTCACTGGCTTGAGAGAAAGACGCAAACGGGAAAAGTGTGGAGAAAAATTGCATCAGAAGAAAAGAGGACCAAAAGAGCTACAAGTTACGCTATCATATCCACTACCACCAGTTACTTTACAATCAGTTCATGCAATAACATTGCACGACACTGACCCACGGTACTGAAGTTCTACACCTAACTGGCAATCAGCTCTAGCACGTCTTGGACGTCGCCTTCCCCTCCTTATGTTATTTCTATAACTTAGAACTAGAGAGGGGGCGGGCCAACGGTACTTTACGGTATATATTCGGGAAATTTTCAGAATGTTGTTGCAGGGTCGGCGCCACTGGTGCGGCCATGGCCGTACCTGTTTTTACCAATTCCAGCGTTCATGGGCTTCTCGGTTAATGCTTATCTGGAAGTACAGCTGTACTAGTAATAAGCTATCCTCGTACAGTCCTCGCTAGTCTCTCCCTCCTAAACCTTTCATCTTGTCCAGTGAGGCCTACTGCGCTAGCTGTTATATCTGCTGCTAGAGAAATGTTCGTTCAGAAAGTGGTGGACATCACGCAACTGCATTGCAAATAAAAGGGGGTTTGTCGTCAACTGACAACCAAGAGAAATGTGTTGCTGAAAAACAGCCTGATATGATGCATAGAGCTAGAAATGTATCCTCCCAGGATTTTGAAATTGCGCATTGAAAAAAAATCGGTCCTGTAGCTGACCTGGGGCCGTACCACCCCTCAGCAGTTGGCTGCGGGCCTGTGTTGAAGAACCTGAAGTGTTAGTTGGCTGCGGGCCTGTGTTGAAGAACCTGAAGTGTTTGCTTCTACTAAGTGCTATACTGTAAAACCTGGAATTTTCCGTGGTGTGATATTTTCGGTATTTCCCAAAATCAACGGTGCGGTAGCGCGAAAAATTCGGTAAACCAGTAGTCTTCCAGATACAAAAAGGCATTTTGCAAACTGTGTGGCAGGGCATGGTTGAATGTTAGGTCGCGTTTTTTTTTTGGTAAAAAAATTACCTGCACCGAAGTTACCGAAAATAAATCTCCGCGGAAAGTTTCCGGTTTCACAGTAGGGTTTTGAGGGAAATGCTTACAGTAGTAGGTAAATTAATGAGGCAGAGAAACGATACACAGGCAAACAATAAAATAAGATGATCAACTCACAGTCCAGGTGGCACAGGAGGACGCATAGGAGGGTTAGGTGGTGGAGGTGGACCCTGTGAAAAACACATGCGCAGGGCACACAGTTAAAAGAGAGTTCGATCAAAACAGCAAGCAAGTATGTGTGTGTGTGTGTGTGTGTGTGTGTGTGTGTGTGTGTGTGTGTGTGTGTGTGTGTGTGTGTGTGTGTGTTTGTGTGTGTGTGTGCGGACGTGCGTGCAAGCGAGCGAGAAAGAGATAGTGAGAGTGTGTGTGTGTGTGTGAAAGATAGAGATAGATAGAGAGAGAGAGAGAGAGAGAGAGAGAGAGAGAGAGAATGCGTGGGAAAGACAGTGTGTTGGAGGCACATGTCGACACACAAAATCTCAAACTAGTCCCAACGGGAACACTCGATACACGACTAGCACATCTAAGTTCACACTTCGCTGCAACTCCAAAGCAGCAGGTACACAAGACGCAAGAACACAATGACAAGCAGCGAAGGACATGCAACGACACTTTGCCAAGACAAGCAATAGCCTCCGTACCAAGCATAACACAGCCTTACCGGTTGATAGGAGCCTGTTGGTGGCGGTGGCGGCGCCGCGAATGGCATGCCTGAACCAGGGCCTTGATAGGGTGGAGGAGCAGCAGCATGACCAGGTGGTGGGGGAAGCTGATTCATGCCCGACATGGGAGCTTGGCCTGAAATACAGGAATGCATACACGCACACACACGCACACACACACACACACACACCCCATATCTTACAAGTAAGAAGCTAACACACACAGCATACCATCAAGTGCCACAACGACCGTGATGCAGTACAAGGTCAAGACCACAGCGGTAATGCAATCCCTTGGGTTTCCTGTACAAATACTGCAGAACTAGAGCGAATTGTAGCGAGTAGTGTACATGCACCCGCACCTGGCATGCCAGCAAAGAATGAAGACCATTTTGATGGCATTCACTGTCTGGTTTTGCGTACTCAGTACGCGGATCTACTGTTGTAGACATGGAAATCCGGTCGCACGTCTAGCGGCCCCAGGGCGCTGGCCATGCAGCCGTGGACAAGCGGAGCACACATGTACATCGTCATGCATGTATGCGCTGCAGCGCGCTAGTCGCATCGGACCACCAGATCACCATGAGCACTGCACGCAGCGTTCTGTACGCGCTGAGGGCGCCGGCCCCGGTCAATCGACTGGATTTCCATGTCCGCTACAGTACTTCTGCACACACACGTGCACTGTAGTATTGTAAACTTACCCATACAGTAAGTCAACACATATTCGACGCATATCTGTTTTCGGCCTGGTCATGTTTGGCCGAAAATTAGTTGCGGCCAACATTTTGTTTTGCAAGGTTCAGTGTGACAGTGTATACAGGCAGCACAGGCCGCAAATTTAAAGCTGCCGAATGCGTTCTAGCCCTGAGAGGCCGAAATTTGAATGGGCTGAAAATTTGTCGACTTTGAAATACAGTAAAACCTGCCAAGGCGACCACTTGCATAAGGCGACCACCTGTCCCAGACGACCACTGCAGCCAGGACCAGGGGATGCTATTTCCAGTCAAACGACCCTGGATAAGTAGACCACCTGGTAACAGAGACCACGCTTTGAAGGTACCTAGAGCGGTCGTCTTAGACAGGCTTCACTGTACAGTATCATGGCATATGCATGATGTTCGTGAGGTAACTCCAACAATGTGTGTGTGTGTGTGTGTGTGTGTGTGTGTGTGTGTGTGTGTGTGTGTGTGTGTGTGTGTGCAGTAGTAGTGCAGTTGTAGACATGCACGCATGCATGCACTGACATTGCTTTGAGGTTTGCGTGGTCGTGGGCTGTGCTGGAGTAGTACCAGCACGCCTCTCCCCGGGGTACGTTGCGCTGTACGTTGCCGAGCCATGATGATGGCAACAGCACAGGACAAGCACCACCACCAGGAGCATAATTATAATTTATCACCTATTGCCACGGTTTGACTGCAGTTGTATGCTGCGTGCATTCAAGCGGGCTAGCTTTGCAACTTGACAGCCATTGATTCATGACTACCGGAACAGAATTGTCAGGTGCTGAAGAACGGAGTGCCGAAGAAAGAACAGGTTAGGATTTCACCAAGCACAGCATACCAATGTATACACGGTGACTCAACTGTGCATAGACGGTAGCAATACGTTACAGCCACAGATGTGACGGCAACGTTTACAGCGCGAACGTGAGTCTCCTGCTTTCAAGTGCCCTTTTCTCAGCTGTGCACGTGAGGACAATAGCACCTTTTTCACAGCCTGAGGCGCGTATATGAAAATTAGAACGGCCTAGGCTAGGAGGCTGACGCCCCCCCCCCCCCCCCCCCCCCAGTTCTTCGGCACCCGGCAGCACTGTAAGCGGAGGTGATTTCACTCTAGAGTCAAGCACAGCACAGACTTTCCATTTGCGTACCGTGTGAAGGAGGAGGTGGTGGTGGTGGTGCATACATGGCAGGTGGAGGAGCACCAGCCTGAGAGGGTGGTGGAGGAGGGGGTGCAGCGTACGCCTGCTGGTTGTAGTTGCCGTACTGCTGCTGCTGCTGCGGTTGCTGCGGATGCTGCTGTTGGTGGTGGTTGTAGTGGGGCATTGGCTGCGCCGGTGGTTGATTAGGAGCTTGATACTGCGATGGTTGCTGTTGTTGTTGCTGGGGTGCATGCTGCGAGGAGGAAGCCTGTCCCTGCTGAGAGCTTGCTCCATCTGCCTGGCCACTGCTGTCCTGCCGGTCTTCGCCCGGCCCTGTGGGCGGCGGGGGCGGAGGACCCTGTCCGGGAGGCGGGGGAAGTGGAGGTCCCTGACCCGGGGGTGGAGGACCCTGACCAGGCGGGGGCATGTACTGCTGTTGATGCGCGGGTTGGTTGGCGTAATGGCCATAGGGCTGCGGGTAGCACAAGCACAGAATAACACCAACGACAATGACAACAACAACAACAACAATATCGGGAGAATAAAGATAGGAAACGAGCAGGGTTTAACCACCATTGAACCTAGAAATCGAGACCCCAAGTACGGGGTCATCTCATAACCGGGATCGACATAATTATAACTGGTGAAATAAGTTACTCTTGAGGTCATGGACTCTTGCCCCCACCCTAGCAACGTTGCACACATGCATACTTGTACCGTATATTCTCTATTATAAGCGCTGTGCTTATATTTTCCAACACCCCTCTACCCCGCGCTTATAATGGAGACCGTGCTTATATTTTTTCAACCAATGCATCCATACAGATCAAGAAGAAATACATGCTAGATATCATGCATGCAGCATTGATTTCCACCAAGACCGTGCTAATAATAGAGACTGTGCTTATATTGTTTCGAAAGGTGCTCACAGTGTGCTAGTAATGGAGACCTGTGCTTATAATAGAGAATATACGGTATTTAAAAATACAAAATAAAAACTTTGAAGATGCCCTCTTCGGCAAAAATTTGGACGAAATTTGAAGTTTGTTTTGGAGAGATTAGGAGAGGTTTTCATTTGGGTAGCCAAGGACTTGATGCGGGTGTGGGCGGTAGAAAAAAAAATGTGCTGTGCATAACGTTATGGATTTTCCACAGGCCTTGGCCTACTAGTAATCGAAAGGGAGTCTCAGTATTTTGTCAGTAGAAGCAGAGCAGCAGCTAACCTGTTGTTGGTAAGGTGGCGGGCCCCCACCTGCAGGTGGTGGTGGGCCATAGGGCGGTGGTTGTCCTCCGTAAGGCTGATGAGGCGGTTGCTGCTGCTGGTGGTAAGGTGGCTGGGCATAGAAATAGGAGAGGGGAAACACACACACACACACACACACACACACACACACACACACACACACACACACACACACACACTTGTACTTGTACTTGTTGCTCACTGCCAAAACTGGTCACGTGGGTCTCCCCGGGACAGGGGAGAGAGACTCAAAAGGAATCTTGGAAAGATGACTCAATTGGCCATTGAACCACCCAACGACCGACACCCCCTGAAATCCCCAAACTAGGGTGGACTTGAAATGATCCCACTTATGGGCTCACCACACCTCAGTAAGTGGGTGAGGACAAGGTGCAGAAAAGGATTGACGGCATCAGGGTATCCGTCCCGGGATCCTCTGATTTAGCCACCGACACTAGTACCAAGTATTACCTTCACTGGGGGCAGGGGTACCTGCAGTTGGATCCCCCCCCCCCCCCCACACACACACACACAAACGTATACACACGCACATATACAAAAACATACACACACACACGCACACACCAACATACACACACACACACACACACACACACACACACAAACGTATACACACGTACATATACAAAACATACACACACACGCACACACCAACATACACACACACACACACACACACACACACACACACACACACAACAACAACAACAACAACAACAACAACAACAACAACAACAACAACAACAACAACAACAACAACAACAACAACAAAGACATCCGTCAAACAACGCCACAGACAGCAAACACACATCCGGCAAAGAAAGGTGGACAACATCCGCGGCAGTGGAACAGCGAGTATCCACGGACATGCTGCTGTATTTGCCACATGGTGTATGAGCAGCGACTGTGCACCGCTTTACGTGCACTTCACACCCAGAGCCAGTACTATCTGCACAGCTTTAAGGCAGTGTAAGCTCTTGAGAGAGTTACAGAACGCGCCTGGTTTACAGTACTGTCGGTTGCCAAAGAACTAGGAGGAGGGGGGCAGCCTCCTAGCCTAGACCGTTCACATTTTTGTGTATTACAGTCTGTGCACGGTTGAGTCACCGCATATCCATTGGTATGCTGTGCTTGGTGGAATTCTAGCCTGGTCGTTCTTCGGCGCCTGACAGTACTGTAGTGCTAGTGTGGACTAGAGATTTTAGGCTCAACATCTTGGCTGTGCTCCATACCCGATATATTCTAACATGGGTTGCTTTTAGCCATGATCCAGTTTTATTGATTACATGTATTGCGAAAGGAGTGTTACGCTCCTTTCGCCAAACGTCAGCCTCGCCAAATGAGAGTTTGCATTCCCAGCATCGGCCTCCATCGTCCTGTGCCTTTTGAGTTGACACTGAGATTGCTAAACTTCGGGAAATCAGGGTTTGGATTTTAAGGTTTTCCCCACTCAAAAGCCAAAAAAGCCCGTTTTGCCAAAACAGTACATAAATTAGCCAGCAATGGTCAAAAATGGTAGCGGGTGCACATACTACTCGTGTGTAAATGCGGTGTGTAGTCGTGGTGCAACGTACCTGCTGTCCATAGCTGGAATTGCTGCCAGGACCAGCAGACGCTTGGTGTGGTGGAGCAGTGCCAGGTGGCGGAATGTTAGAGTAGGATCCGCGCGGTGCAGTGGGCTACACATATGCACAAATGCGCAAACACCCACACACACAGAAACGCGTGCATGCGCGCGTACACACACACACACACACACACACACACACACACACACACACACACACACAGAAGCGCGTGAGCACACACACACAAACACACACAAAAACACACATAGAAACATGCATCCTTGCAAAATACACAGAGTTACTGGTGAAAGGAGGTAAACACAACGCCGCCAATGGCAGCAGCAACAGGAATCAGAAACGAAGCAGCAGTTTGCACAGCACCAGTGCTAGCAAACACACCAACAGCATCAGCAGCATCGGCACCAACAGCACTAGCAGCAACACCGCTAGCAACAGCAGCATCAGCATCAGCAACACTGTGAGGTTCTGCTCTACGTTACAGGAACGCGACGCGGAGAATCACGGGAACTCTCTTCCCGTTCCCGTAACGTAAAGAAAATCTGTTCTGCTCTACGTTCACGTAGAGAAATCACGTGGAAGGTGTACTGGGAATTGCCCTTCCATATTTGCCTGTTTTCTGCCTGCATTTGAATGATACCCAGCAGATTCGTACGCGTTTTCTTAGCGTGAGAGAACCTCATCTACGCGTAGATATCTGGATCCAAAACACGCAAAGCCGTAGACTCTAACCCAGACTCCTTCTCTCTACGTGATTTCTCTACGTTTCACATATAGCAGAACCTCTCTAGTAGCAGCAGCAGCACCACCACCACTACATGTAAAGGACCAGCTACTTACCCGCTGAGGCATCTGCTGTGGCCCAGGAAGCGCTGCATGTATACATGTAGAAAAGAGATCAATGGGGAAGAAAGAGAAAGAGAAGAGAGAGAAAGAGAGAGAGAAAGAGAGAGAGGACAGAGGAGAGAGAGAGAGAGAGAGAGAGAGAGAGAGAGAGAGAGAGAGAGAGAGAGAGAGAGAGAGAGAGAGAGAGAGAGAGAGACACACACACACACACACACACACACCACACACACACACACACACACGCACACAGAAAGAAAAAGGACAGTTGCATTGAATGTCGGAGCAGCAGCAGCAGCAGTGGCATTACCCTTTGGTAAGAGCAAGCACCCATTGTGTAAAGAAAACCTGTACGCTGCACAGCAAACACTGACCCCAACTCCAGATCAGCATCTGTTCTAGAAGCGCTATTCGGGTGCGCAAGTGCACACAACAGCTTACTATCGGAAAGCAGTACCGGCAGTCGGCTATGGATGCAGTACGGTTTATGGTACACAGCCACATGCCTTCTTATCTTTCCTTACATACTGATAATATTTGCGAGATATCACACACCAACACTGAATGACTAAGAGTCGAATCTGACGAGGAGAGAATTTTCTCGGATACCCAGCGATGGGGAGTATTTGAAGCACCCTGGCGTTGGATATGTGATCTCAGTAGTGTCCAGTTTGAGCTCAATGTACGTAACTCGTGGAGAGCTTTCCAGAATGCCCAAGATTGTGAAAATTGGTTGACTAGAACCAAAGATATTCTCAGAATGAGGTGAGAAATATCGCATTTGGAAAGAGACATTTGCACTGTACATTCCACTTACGCTGATATCCATAGCCGGAGCCAAAACCGGCCGGCGCATAAGCCGGAGCGAAGGTGGCCGCCTCCTGGCGAATCTAGGGACAGGAAAAGACAGACAAGCGTGTAACGGGAAAACATCAGCAACAAGGTTACACAACTTAGAAGCTGCGCGAGCTTTGGTCATTTGAAAACGATTTGGAACACTCCACCACTCCACACTGTGCTCCGGAGTCTTGACCCGCATTCACGACACCACAGCAAGGACATTTGTGCTTGGATAGATATCAGATGTTGTGAATGTGGGCCAAGAGCGCAGCGTGGAGTGTTACAAATTAACAAGCTACGCATACAAAACAGTGACGGTAAAAGTCAGGAACAAGCTACGGCGCATACCGAGCAGTCATGGTAAAACGGTCAAAACAGAAGCAGACACGTTGGCAGACCAAACAGTCGGGAAATGAACTACCGTAGTTGCTGGAGTAAAACATGCACCAGAGCACAATGCACACCTTCTTCTTGGACCAAGATTTCAGCCATCAAGGTGTATGCGGAGTATAATAGAGAGGTTCCGGGGTACGATTTTCCGTGCCAAAATCCGTATGGGCGCTACGGATTTTTTCCAGACGTGCTCCATACGATTTTTCGGCACGGAGAATCCGTGTGGACTGGCTTTCATACGAACCATGTTTCGTATGGAGATTTTGCGTCATCGGGTGCAGAAAGATTTTTCGCGTACAAATTTGGTACGAGACACATCGACTTTCCGCGGGAAGTTTTGATTTCGGTACAATTTTCAAAATAGAAAGGCATAGCGCGGGAATGTGACGTGTTTGCGATCGTAACCTAGGCAATGACGGCAAACACATACGTTCCGTACTCCGGAACTTTTCACTGCTCGAAAACGACGTATAAAATATCCGTAGCGCCTCAACGGATTTTGGCACGAAAAATCGTACTCCGGAACCTCCCTAATGAGCAGCCTGGGTTTGAGTCAAGACACGGTTAAGCCCAGTGTGCATTGCCAAATACGGAATGTATGAGCAATGCATGCGAGTACCCTGGGATCAGCTCTGCACTGTCCAACAATCACACAATCAAACCCAGGTGGCTGTGTGGGGGTGTCAGTGGTACAGATTACGTCATTGGGCAATGAGCGTATACAACAATCACACAATCAAACCCAGGTGGCTGTGTGGGGTGTCAGTGGTACAGATTACGTCATTGGGTAACGAGCGTACCGTATTATCTCTAATATAAGCACGGTCCTTTATTTTTTCAATGTACCTCCGCCCCGTGCTATTAATGGAGACGTTCCTTTATTGGAGACTGTTCCATTATTATTTCAACCTCATTTCAGAGGCATGTTGCCATGCCAAATTCATGTATGACACACACATTTCAGGGTTTTTTTCGCCGGTACAGATAATGAATTTACACAGTGTGCTTATAATGGAGACTAAGCACTTTATTTTTTGAATGCCGCCCCAAGGTGTTCTATTATTGGAGACGTGCTATTATTGGAGACTGTGCTTATATTAGAGATAATACGGTATACAACAATCACACAATCAAACCCAGATGGCTGTGTGGGGGTGTCAGTGGTACAGATTACGTCATTGGGCAATGAGCGTACACAACAATCACACAATCAAACCCAGGTGGCTGTGTGGGGTGTCAGTGGTACAGATTACGTCATTGGGCAACGAGCGTATGCACAAGCTGCTCTGGTAGCGACACTTCATGGTAGATAGTCTGGGCGGTGCTTCAACCACCTCTGGACACCTAAGCGTGATGTTTGTGAAACTTTACATGCATGCACGGTCTGTTGGACTCTTGACTCACATAACCAGCAATTGTGTAGGGTATATCCATGTGGCTTATGTCAGGTGACAGAGGTGGCCAATCTCGCACCAGCTCGATGCATTGCACTACTTTTGGTAGCGCATGCAATTTCAAACTCGGATTATACTATAGTGCGCAAACGCAATTCCGATCCTCAAATAGCTTATCTAAAGTGCACACCATACTCCAGCAATACAATACTTCTAAAATAGAGAAGTAGATGTGAATGAGGTCTTCAGCAGGTGCAAGTTTTCCTGCTGAGGTAAATGGAGAAGAGGCAAAAGCAATGGAGAGTTGTATGCAAAAGCAACAGCCTGAGTGACGTACTGTGTCAATCAGATTCTGGCACAGCTTCTTGGCATTTGCCAGACCGTCCTTTGTGCTATGACTGCAAGACGAAATGATACGCGCACACGCATGTGCATACACACACACACACACGCACGCACACACACGCACATACAGAGAAAGCAAGTTATCATCAGCTTACGCACGCACAAACACAATACCCCCCCCCCCCCTTCCGACCCCCAGATAACTAAAGAGACAAACGTATTATAATACTTGATGACATGAAAATCACATCATCACGCAGTGCAATCACGAAATCTCACTTGATGTAAAGGTGGATAGCCTCGAAGGATTCTCGACCAGAGGTAGGCTCCATGAATCCAGAACCACGACCTCGCAATACAACCTGGACAAGGAAACGGTAGCACGCACGTATACAGGCACACACGTACACAGGCACACACGTACACAGGCACACACGTACACAGGCACGCACGTACACATACATGCACCAGTATTTGTACTTGTATTCGTACTTCGAATTTTTGTATATTTACGGATGGCAGAGCATCCGTTTGTATGCAGCAGCCAGGAAAGATGGTGACTAATGGTCCAGTAATGGATGGTTCTGCATAATGCTGTACACTGAAACCCAGTATGCAGTCAACTGGCCAAACAAACTGGGGTGAGGAGAGTGGAAAGAGACAAGGAGATGGGAGAAGATGGGAAAGACAGAGAGAGAATAGAGAGAATAGAGAGAGAGAGAGAGAGAGAGAGAGAGAGAGAGAGAGAGAGAGAGAGAGAGAGAGAGAGAGAGAGAGAGAGAGAGAGAGAGAGAGAGAGAGAGAGAGAGAGAGAGAGAGAGAGACCGAGACACACACATGTAGCAATGAATAGGTTGCTTACCTTAGCACCACTTTCATTTTGAATGTGCTTCAAATACTGCCCCTACAACAAACAAATCAAAGGCATACAGACATATTAGCAGTGCCATATAGCTTACCCAGGTCACACAGTACACACTACATCAGCTTGCTGTTCTCGTGTGGAGCCCAGCTCACATCCACTTGAGGGTCTATTGATGAGAGCGCATGAAGCCAGTGCCCTTGCTGACTGCGCAGCGCGCAATGCGAGTACAATGTCACAGAGCGCACCTCCAAAACAGGACCACAAAAAGAGGAGTGGTGGCAGTCGTGGTGGTGGTGATGATAGTGGTGGTGCTGCAGCTGGTGGCAGTGGTGGTGCATGAAGCTACTGCAATTAAGACTTACATCGGGGCCTTGAATGCGTTCAATCACATTGAAGCCTTCAGGTGCCAGTTCCAGTCCAATGAATAGCTTCTCTTGCACATAGTGCTGCATAGCGTAACACAGACAATTATTATGTTGGTGAGAGCGCGCGCGCGTGTGTGTGGTCGTGTGTAATGCATGCGTGCAGACGTGTACTTGTACAGCATGAGAGAGGGGGGGGGGGGGGGGGGGGGGGCTACCACATAGACATAGGAGACCATCCAAGTACTTGAAGAAACATTCACTGATAAAATTCCAACCCACGCAAGCAGGGCACTAAGGCTGCAACATACCAAACCCATGATCTAGACTATTGACATCAGGCTAGAGTTGCACTTGTGGCCTGAGTGCTCGCCATTTGGAAACAACATTTCTAAACTCAGTAATACACAAAAGTGCAGCGGAGTGCACCCACTAGCATACCAAACATGGACACGTGTACTGCTGCTGCAGCTGTTCGTGCTGATGGTGTGGCCACCGCTGTTGTGAATGTTGCTCCTGCTGCTGCTGCTGCTGTTGTAATTGTTTCTGGGTGTTCTCTGGCTGAGTTTAGCACTACAGGGGCAGCACCACACTCCAGCAGAGTAGCATTACAAAAAAATTCACGGTTCGCATCAGACTCGGTTAGAGGCCGAGTTTGCCGCATCCGTAGGAACGCCACCACCCTTCGAGGATCAAGGCGCAGATGCAGCTCCTAAGTACTGTAGTGTAGTGTAGTATAGCATGTCTCGTAGATATTACTACAGGGAGGGGGGGGGGACACCATGCAAGAGTAGGATCACCATTCCATGTGTGCTCAGGTCAGGAGTCGCAATACGCTGCAACACTCAACCTTCCTACATAAAAATTGGCCCACGTCGTCCAAAGTCTTACCCCCTTCGTGTAGATCTGTGAATAATTGTTCTTGTCGGACGAGGATGACGACGATGATGACGCCCCGGAGGTAGCAGCTGGCTTTGGAGTTGTTTTGATTCCCAGCAAATTATTGATGCGAGCCACAGCGGCTAGAAACACACACAGTGACAAAGAGCAGTAAGAAAAAAGAGACGACAAGTGAGGCAATGCAAGAGATATTCGGAAAGTGGGGCGTACTGATGAACTGAGCTGAATAGCAATGCAGAAGATCATGATGGACCAAAAGTTTACAAGTTATCCGCTGTTCGTGTCCAACACTAACAAACACACGGATAACCTGTAAATTGTTGGTGGTCCTTCTTTTTCAATTTTAATCCTCGGTTTTCCAAGTTTCCATCCTAGAAGATTTTGAGATTGGGGATGCGAATATTGGGTGACTTTTCTAAAGTATTACCAACGACGATGGGTAAGAGTCGTATGTTGTACTTCAGTGAGGTAGGGACTCGGGTGGGTAGCGAAGAGGGGAGTGGAGAGGAGGGGTGATATGCTTACCATCAACCTTGGACTGCTCATCCGACTGTATGAATAAATACTGAGGTTTCTCACTGCAGACACAAACACAGGGGAGAGAGAGAGAGAGAGAGAGAGAGAGAGAGAGAGAGAGAGAGAGAGAGAGAGAGAGAGAGAGAGAGAGAGAGAGAGAGAGAGAGAGAGAGAGAGAGAGAGAAAGAGAGAGAGAGAGAGAAGAGAGAGAGAGAGAGACATCGATCCAAACTCAGAGCACACAGGACAGAACATACTCATTTCAAAGCCCATCTAACTTCTTCAATAGCAGCAAGAGTAATGAGCAATAGAGTACAACTTAGCAATCTCTCAGCCCATGACAGAATTTGTTGATGACTGCAGCTTTTCGCCACCATTTGGCTCATTGATGCTATCATGTGCAGCCAGAGATCAAAGTGCAAAGAACTTGTACAAAGCAGCTACGGTCGTGAACAGACGTTAAAGTCATGCATCCTGAGCTTGACCAACTAACATTGTATCTTCATGACAAGCGTGGCGAGGTGCCCACACTTGACCATTCTTCTGCCAAAACGCAAGAAAAAAATCCGCCCCAGGTGAATCCATCGCAGCTCAAGATGTGATTTGAATACCCTTGGAGTATGCAGTCTTGACAGCAGCAGCAGCAGCAATAGCAAGAGCAAGAGCAACATGATGATACGTACTCATTGGCCGCTTGGCCTTTCTCTTCCTTGGTCATGTAGCGACCTCGCGGCGATACGAACGCACCAGTTTGCCGCTTGATCTGCAAGCAAGAAGCACAACAGGGAGAAATTGGAGGGGATTAGTCAAAGAACTGGCCTTTCGCGACTTTCGGGCATTCTCGCTACCAGTTAACAACATCGTCATACTTCTGCTCTCTAGTTGCCTACATTGCATAGTCCATGAGTGAACAAGACGAAAGAATACATTTATAGAAAAGGAAAGGACTAAGGAACTACAAGTTACGCTATAATGTCCACTAACACCACCAGTTACTGAACAATCAGCTCATGCGATAACATTGCACGACACTGACCGACGGTACTGACGTTCTACTACGAACTGGCTAACAGCTCCAGCACATCTCGGATGCGCACTCCAACTGCCTTCCAGCTAGGAAGGTTCTAAGTTATATGATAACATAGGAGGGGAATTTTCTACTCAAATCTGTGGACAGCAACTGTTTCGCTCTGTTAGAGCTCCTCAGCACAGCTCAGAGGACCGAAGCGCACGTGGGAATTTTCTATAAATTTATCCTTGGCTCTCCATCCGAGTCCATTCTTGCAAAGAGAAGAGCATGCTATATCCAGGATACTTTCTGCTGAAGTTGGACTGTAACAAGCACAACTTACATCCAGGAGAATAACGGTCTTTGTCAGGACAGCCCTAAACAAAATAAGATGATACAGGAGCACACACATAGACACACACACACACACACACACAGAGTCAAATGTCAGTCACGCTAAACAACATCCTCATACACAACACGAGCATCGCACAACGGCAGCTAGGACCATGACTTCCCGTTTCTTATCAGCAAGCACGCCCTACTGAAAAATGGACAAACGCAGGATTATAGCGCTGTCAAGGGCGCCAGCATACGTCTTTGGATGGGGAACATGGGGAAAGATGGGGAACAAACAGATTATGAATAAAACAATTGATGCTGACATAATAACATGATGAACTATGGAAAAGAATACGTACCGTATCATCTCTAATATAAGCACGGGCCTTTATTTTTTCAATGTATCTCCGCCCCGTGCTATTAATGGAGACGTTCCTTTATTGGAGACTGTTCCATTATTATTTCAACCTCATTTCAGAGGCATGTTGCCATGCCAAATTCATGTATGACACACACATTTCAGGGGTTTTTCGCCGGTACAGATAATGAATTTACACAGTGTGCTTATAATGGAGACTGAGCACTTTATTTTTTGAATGCCGCCCCAAGGTGTTCTATTATTGGAGACGTGCTATTATTGGAGACTGTGCTTATATTAGAGATAATACGGTAAGCAAGAATTCAGAAACGTTTTTTCTTCGACGGTCATCAGTGAATTGTTTTATTCATAGCTTCGTTGAAACTTCTTTCTCCGAAATGGCCATGGCTTTTTTTAATAAACAGATTGCTCAGCATGAATTCCAGCAACTCCAGCAGCAGCAGCAGCAGTAGCGTCACCAGCAGCAGTAGCAGTAGCGTCACCAGCAGCATCAGCAGCAGCAGTAGCAGTAGCAGTAGCAGTAGCGTCACCACCAGCACCAGCAGCAGCAGTAGCGTCACCAGCAGCAGCATCACCAGCGTCACCACCAGCAGCAGTAGCAGTAGCGTCACCAGCAGCAGCAGCACCAGCAGCAGCAGCACCAGCAGCAGCAGCACCAGCGTCACCACCAGCAGTAGTAGCAGTAGCGTCACCAGCAGCAGCAGCAGCAGCAGCAGTAGCGTCACCAGCAGCAGCAGCGTCACCACCAGCAGCAGCAGCGTCACCAGCAGCAGCAGCAGCAGTAACAGCAGCATCACCAGCAGCACCACCAGAAGCAGCAGCAACCGCAACCAAACAGCAGCACAAAAAAATCTTCAAGTTGAAATTCTGCTGTTGCTAGGTACAGTAAAACCTGGTTTAAGCGACCACCCCACAGTGCAAGCAAAAGCAGTCGTTAAAGCCAGGTGGTCTTTAGAACCAGGTCCCACAGTGTCTGTGTAGAACTGTCCGTGCATGGAAAAGCGGTCGTTAAGAGCAGGTGGTCGCTAAACCCAGGTTTTACTGTATATAGAGTAGCAGCAAGTGAAATCTGGTCCACTCACTGGGTTAGTACTGGGTGCTGTCATGAGTAGGGGTGAAACCCAGAGTGCGCAGTTTGGGATTTTTCTGCATGGCTCACTGGGTGACTGTCACTGCGAAATTCAGGATTTACATCATGGTTGGTGCAGATAAGCGGCGGGAAGTGGGGTAGTGCGTACCGGAAAGAGACCTGCTTGAATCCTGCGTGTACGCACTACACCACTAACGTGATGTGATCCCGGAATTTCGCCGTGACAGCAACCCATCCGAGCTGCACACTCTGGGCTTCATGTACTGTTGGTGCTATGCAACAGCAGTACTGGAGACACAGTGAGAGTAAGACTGTGCTATGCAACAGCAGTACTGGAGACACACTGTGAGAGTAAGACTGTGCTATGCAACAGCAGTACTGGAGACACAGTGAGAGTAAGACTGTGCTATGCAACAGCAGTACTGGAGACACACTGTGAGAGTAAGACTGTGCTATGCAACAGCAGTACTGGAGACACACTGTGAGAGTAAGACTGTGCTATGCAACAGCAGTACTGGAGACACACTGTGAGAGTAAGACTGTGCTATGCAACAGCAGTACTGGAGACACACTGTGAGAGTAAGACTGTGCTATGCAACAGCAGTACTGGAGACACACTGTGAGAGTAAGACTGTGCTATGCAACAGCAGTACTGGAGACACACTGTGAGAGTAAGACTGTGCTATGCAACAGCAGTACTGGAGACACACTGTGAGAGTAAGACTGTGCTATGCAACAGCAGTACTGGAGACACACTGTGAGAGTAAGACTGTGCTATGCAACAGCAGTACTGGAGACACACTGTGAGAGTAAGACTGTGCTATGCAACAGCAGTACTGGAGACACACTGTGAGAGTAAGACTGTGCTATGCAACAGCAGTACTGGAGACACACTGTGAGAGTAAGACTGTGCTATGCAACAGCAGTACTGGAGACACACTGTGGAGACACACTGTGATAGTAAGACTGTGCATACCCACAACAGTACGACACTGCTCAACCCGTGTACAGTCAGACCTCGTTTAACCGCACACAGCCGCTTTCCACGACAACATCCGGATAGGCAGGGGGAACTGGATAGTCGAACACACAATGTCATACTGTATGTATGCATGACATATGCTGTAAATCGGTGACCAACGATTTTCTTCCGGATGGTGAGGGATCCGGATAAAAGAGGACCGGACAAGCGAGGTCCGACTGCACAAGTAGCAGAATTTCACCTGCTGGAACTGTAGCTGTCACACTTCAACACTGACCTGTTTGGATAATCGTTGATTTCCACTTCTGCGTTGTACCGGCACGGTGAAGCAGGTTCAATATCCGTTGCGCCTGCGAGAGAGACAACATAACAACACAACCCGACAGGAACATGAAAACCATCATTATCAACCATTGCACAGGGCAACTCGGCATTCAGACCTTGCAGACAGCTTTTTTTTATTTTTAGATAATGCACTGCTCGTATTTATTTTATTTTTTACTTCAAAAGGACAATTGCTGCATCCATGCAGGAGGCTACCGGTAATCAGATCGCTAGTTTTTAGTTATCACACGAATCTTTCTCATCATCATCATCATCATCTGCGTTGCCGAAAAAAATAATAATAGTAAAATTTAAAAAATAATAATAATAAACGGCATTATGCAGCTGTGTAAGCAGTAGATGCACAGTCTTTCTAGTAAGTATGAATTGTTCCTGCCCATACCCAAGTCAGTCCGGACTCCAGAATAACGAAAACCTAGTGTGTGAGTGTGTTGATGAAGGTACAGGGGCATAGCTGGTCCCCCTTTGGGGGGGGGGGGGGGGGGGGGGGGGCACAGCCGCATATGTGTAGGATGGTTGGTGCATGTCATTCATAGTCAATATGTGCATGCTGAACCTACATATAAGTCGAAATTTTAGGGGGGGGGGGCATCCTCCCCCCCCCCCGTGCAGCATGCATGCGGGCTACACGCCTGAGGTGGCAATGACGATGCTGTTACACGCCGCAATGTTTAAAGGGGAAGTTAAGGCAAAAATTAAAATTTCACCAGTTGTAGTCTTCGGGGTGCTGAGTCGAATGGTCTTGGTCCGAGGAAGCTGAGACGCTCCCTTCCTACTTGAATCCCAATCGAACTCGCGCACTTCCACCGAAACTGGGTGACTGCGCCCTACGAGATGGGGATTTGTATGCAAAATGTCACTAAAAGCGCCATTTCGTTCTTATAAAAGCACGGATGACCGCGATTGGCCCATATGTTGTAGTCTTTGGGACGCTGAGTCGACTGGTTTTGGTCCGAAAAGGCTGCGATGCGGCGTTCCTCCTTTATTCCCAATCGAACATGGTTGAAGAAGCAGTCACGTGCTCCTGCGTACACCAGTCACCTGGTCACCGTGCCTGCAGGGTACAACTTACTAGCCTGTTTGACCTTTTTTGGGTGCAGTCCTGTCACTCGAGTTGAACCCGAGTTGAACCTTGGTGTGAAAGTTGTCACCTGCTGGCGTGGTGACCAGGTGATTTGGGCACCCAGGACCACGTGACCGCTTCTTCAACCATGTTCGATTGGGAATAAAGGAGGAACGCTGCATCGCAGCCTTTTCGGACCAAAACCAGTCGACTCAGCGTCCCAAAGACTACAACATATGGGCCAATCGCGGTCATCCGTGCTTTTATAAGAACGAAATGGCGCTTTTAGTGACATTTTGCATACAAATCCCCATCTCGTAGGGCGCAGTCACCCAGTTTCGGTGGAAGTGCGCGAGTTCGATTGGGATTCAAGTAGGAAGGGAGCGTCTCAGCTTCCTCGGACCAAGACCATTCGACTCATCACCCCGAAGACTACAACTGGTGAAATTTTAATTTTTGCCTTAACTTCCCCTTTAACAGCACTGTTGTGTGGGGTAGAGTGTGTACGTGCGAGTTGCAGAAAGTGGCAGTGCTGCTACGCTTTACAGTGCAGAGTAGAGTGCGTGAGTGCGAGTTGCTGGATTTGGCAGTGACAATGCTGCTACACTTCGCACTGCTAGACAAGGATACCTGAAACTTACATTGCTAATACTTCAAGTACAGTTGCTGGTACAATTTCTGGTAATGGATTTGCCACCTACATCTACTCTCTCTCTCTCTCTCTCTCTCTCTCTCTCTCTCTCTCTCTCTCTCTCTCTCTCTCTCTCTCTCTCTCTCTCTCTCTCTCTCTCTCTCTCTCTCTCTCGCTCTCTCGCTCTCGGTGTGTAGGCTATACACCCAGATGTATTGATCAGTCTCTCGAGTTACCAGAACTCGCTCCCGTGTATCCTAGGTCTAAGGTGTGACACCATAAGTATTACACAATGGTATTTTCAATGCTGATGCTGTTTGTTTTTTCAACGCCATGTTGGCAATTGGGTTCTTGGCCGATTGTTCAGACAGTCAATTCACTGACAATGGCCAACACATTATTTGAAGTTTCTCCAGCAGTTTCTGCTACTGTGTCAGTTGTGCAGCGAGTGATTGGTCAAGAGCACAGGGCAAACACCCAGGCTGGGATAGTACGCAGCGAGTTTGGTCGAGAGCCGAGGACAAATGCCCAGGGTAGGATAGCATGCAGAGAGTGTAGTCAAGACCAGAGAGCAAATGACCAAATCGGGATAGCATGCAGAGAGTGCAGTCGAGAGCAGAGAGCAAATACCCAGGTCGGGATAGTATGCAGAGAGCAAATGCCCAGGTAGGGATAGCATGCAGAGAGTGCGCTCAAGAGCAGAGAGCAAATGCCCAGGTCGGGATAGTACGCAGAGAGGTCAAGAGCAGAGAGCCAATGACCAAACCGGGATAGTACGCAGAGAGTGTAGTCAAGAGCAGAGAGCCAATGTCCAAATCGGGATAGTGTACAGAGAATGTAGTCAAGAGCAGAGAGCAAATGTCCAAATCGGAATAGTAGGCAGAGAGTGTAGTCGAGAGCAGAGAGCAAATGTCCAAATCGGGATAGTGATCAGAGAATGTAGTCGAGAGCAGAGAGCAAATAACCAGGTCGGAATACGAGCTCCAGTCCTAGCCACGAGGCATCTACATCTTTATTCTACGTACCTGCATCCGCCAACGTCCTCGCAGCTCCAGCTGGATTCAGACCGACTGCGTTGGCCCCCGTGAGCGGAGCACCACCAAGACCTGCGGTGCCCATAGTCGGCCCGGTCGCTGCACCATCAGTCATCTGTAACAAAGCAGCAGCAGCAACAGCAACAACAACAGCAGCAGCAGAAGTGGCAGCAACAGCAGCAGCAGAAGTGGCAGCAACAACAGCAGAAGCAGCAGCAAAAACGTCCACACACAGATAAACCAAATATAGGCAACAACAAATCCAAAAGTGAGAATTCCTCCCCCACAGACGGGTGTGCGGTGCACAATGCCCTTGTGGTGTCACCTGGAAATACTGTTTCTGACGAAATGGGTACTGTGCAGATTTGCAGTTGAGCAGCTCACTGAAATCCCACACAAAGTGATACGAGTACAGTTGAGCAGCTCACTGAAATCCCACACAAAGTGATACCAGTACAGTTGAGCAGCTCACTGAAATCCCACACAAAGTGATACCAGTACAGTTGAGCAGCTCACTGAAATCCCACACAAAGTGCAAACCCGGCCGCACCCTGGACCAGTTCCGAGAACATCACTGTACACGTAGTTGTTGTCCACGTGTACGCCCAGCTGCGTTCGTCGCACTTCCAGGGTGACAAGGGCCGTGCAAGTTGAGGACGCCAGATATGCACTTTGGGCCGGATTTCACCGAGTGCAGATGTAGATACTAGTACAGTGCAATTATATTTCCGTGCAGCAGGTGTGTAGTTCGTACACATGGTGTATTGTAAGTCAACAAATATTCGGCGCATATTTATTTTCGGCTATTTTCGGCCTGATCATATTTGGCCGAAAATTTGTTGCAGCTGAACATTTCGTTTCGCAAGGTTCAGTGTGGCAGTGCATACAGGCAGCAGCAGTACAGGCCGAAAATTTGTTGCAGCCGAAATGTGTTTTAGCCCTGAGAGGCCGAAATTTGAATGGGCCAATAATTTGTCGACTTCAACCCTTTGAGGCCCATAGTACGGATATATCCGTACCAGTGTACAGTGCATACTTTTCAAAGCGCAACCTGGCGACTCGGCTGTCCCTTGACCGAATTGGATAATTGAAAGGTCTATCGACATTAGAATTGTCTCAGCTATCGGCTCGAAAAAACCCGAAGACGATCTGAGGTCGGAGAGCGGGGTTATGAGACTCGAACTAAATCCGCTCAGCAGAGTCAACTCGGGCGCGTGCATTTTGAACTCGTTTTGGGGGATTTCCCTGACTCGCGGCCTATGCAGCCAGAGATATGTAACGTCATCGCAAAGGCATGTTCCTCAGCTCTTCTGAAAAAAAATTTGAGCCATCTGCGATACAATTTGTTGAAATGGCAGAGAATTTGAGTTGGGCGCTCGCAATGCTGGCTTTGGAGCGCTGAATCGCGCTGCGGCGCTAGTTCTGTGGATCTAGTGATGGATTGCTGGCTATTGCTGTGTTCCCCTGGCCAAGAGCTTTCCAGAAAGCCCAAGATCACCCAAATCGGCCAAAAGACACCAAAGTTACGACCAGATAAGTAACTGGGCTCGCGTATGCAGTGCATTCCTTGAAATAATTGTGGGCCCTAAAGGGTTTAAAATACAGTATGCAATTCAACATTGTACTTCGGGTCTGTAGGCATACTGCCAACCTTACGGCCCCCGATGCATGAGCAAGAACACCCGCACGCGCACATGTGCACACGCACGGCCCCCGATGCATGAGCAAGAACACCCGCACGCGCACATGTGCACACGCACACCCGCACACACACATGCACCCGCACGCACACACGCGCGCGTACGTATGCGCACACACACATGCACCCGGACACACACGCGCTCGCGTACGTATGCGCACACACACACACACGCGGATATACACACACACACATGCACACACACGCACGCACATCTCCACACATTACCATAGGTCGAATGACAGGCCTAGTGTTCTGGGCCAGCTTTCCCTGCGACGCCAGCAGCGCATTGATTCTGGCCGCTGCAGCAAGCGCCACTACGCTGACTGCCGCGGCGGGATTCGCTTGCACTGCGCTGACTACAGCTGCCGCAGCAGCTGCGGGATTCGGCACCAGCCCTGCTCCCGCGTTCGCGCTGGTGACGGCGACAGAGGACATGGGAGCACTCGTTGAAGTAATGGGTTCATTCTGAGCTTGTCCATCATTGCCCCCGCCGGTTGGCTGGTCCCATTTACTGCGACGTTTACTGGAAGGAAACGCGTGCACGAAATTCACTCAGTACACCGTGTGATGACCTACCTCTATGACACAGCTATCCATCCAACACTCATGCTCACCTCATAGTAGGAAAAAAATAATCGCAAATAGAAATTTACGTGCAGCAAAACTCTGCTTGTTCCAACTGTCTTAGGTTCCAATAAATGTGGCGAAACCGCTCATAGCAAGAAAGTTGCTTTGTTGATTACAATGTAGAGGGCTCGTCACTTCCATCCAAGTTCAAGAGAGAAGGAATAACTCAGGAAATAGCAGAAAGAACAATCATGAGGGAGGAAAACAGCATGATCTGAGTTGTTTTCAAAAAAAGGAGGTCGGTTCATTTTTCGCATTTTTTTCTTCGCAATCTGCCATTTCTGCACGGCTGTTAGCTGCACTTGGATCGCGGCAACTTAGTTTTCTGCACGTGAACCATGAAAAATCAATGCATGCTCATGCATTGTTCATGCATAAGCAGTCAGCTGGCCTGCTCGCCCACGCATTTGACAGGTAACAATTCCATCAAATTTGAGATATCGCTTCGTTCTAAGTCTCAAAACAGTTCTAAAGTCACCAAACCACGCTGGTAATCGATGGCTATTCAATGTTAACATCTTCAGGAAGACTTCAGCCGTTTCCCGAGAGTTTGGGCATCGTTGCCGTTATTTTTCACTGTGTTCTTCTTCCTCCTGTCTGGAGCTGCAATTGCATCCTGGAATTATTTGAAAGGTATTTCGTGCGGGCTGTGGGGGGTTCCAACAGGCATAAACTGACATCGCTATAGGATAACTGGTAACTTTCACCCTTCAAGGAGGTAGAGCAATGAGAATTTTTTTGTGGCGGTCGTCCAATTTTTGTGGCGGTCGTGGCTGTATTTGTGCACTTCCAAGGCTTTCATTCTGCCTGATACTACTCTCTACTGTATGGGAATTGTTGTTTAGGCACATGTAGCTGTCTTATTTGGTAGATCTGCTGTTTTCAATCACTTGGGACACTTTAGCCTATTTGTCTTTCGTTCATGCCATCTATCAGTTTTGTGGGGTGCCTTGGCCTGTATTTGTGAAGTTCTCGAGTAAAGACCCTAATTCTTGACTGGAGTCACGACTTGAATTGTATTTGCTGGGCGAGCCCTCGTTCACGCAGTTGTCCTTATCGTAATAGTCAATATCTGCTTGCTGGACGGACTAGCGGCTAGAATAGGGATGACCAAATGGTCCAAGTGTGTACTAGTACACGATTATTGTTTCCATCATCGTGAAATGAGCGTTGTGGAATTGCAGTCGTCTGCCTTTGGCACTGAGGACATGAGGAGAGTTGATTGTTACTTCTGCTCAGCAATGAAGCGATCATCAGCTCTCTTTCTTCTAATTATTGAGAGGACATACCGGCATCGCAATCAAGTAAAGATTAGGCAAACCTCGCCAACCTCCAAAGAGAGTCGAAGATATTTTCTCCAAATGCAAAGACGATCTTTGTGAGTTTGTGACTTGCATTTGCGTGCATACATGAGCAAGGCACGGACCACGGCACGTGCGCGGTTACCATGCCATCTCGAACCGACGCCATCTTTCTAAGTTGCCGCTTCTTGACAGCCGTGTCTGGTGTAACCTAGCAACAGTTTTGACTGATGATGCATGCAGTGCAGTGACGTAGCTTACATGTTCCTCGTACATCATGTATTTGTATGGACTTATGAACTGAAAATTGCTGGTGTAATTGGTGATTTCAACGAGCATGCCAACAGTTACAACTTAGTACTGATACCAGTAATAAGTATATTTGGCTTCTTCATTGACTAGTACTGAACAGCTAGCTTCAGCAAGAAACCCTTGGGAGAGCTCTTTGCAGAGAAGCGTATCACCTCACCAAAAACGTACGCCTACTTCCATTCATTCAATACTTTTATCTTTTCTATTTTTGGATAGTCTTCAAGCTCCTAGATCCCGTGCATGTGAGCATCCAGCTAAATTTGGCTAGCTGCTGCCTTTCAGCCTGGTACTTGTAATGGAACAAGATCAAGACGAAGAGGTGCATGAATTATTGCAGGGCTGCGTTCTCCAAAATCAAGTAAGTACAAGTGTAAGTAGATGCACGCATAGAGTCTTGGGTTGTACAAGTCCAAGTACTGTCGTAGAGAGGTAGTGCTCTAGCAAGCAGGTATTTCACACGGTCTGCACCACATCAGGGCCACGCTCCCACAATTAAACATTTGAAACTTCATAATGTGCTCAATCCACGAAGTAAAGAAATGTTTAATGATGGTAAAAGCACCGGGAGAAAAAGCAGTAAATACCTTGTCTCTCTGTCCGCGCGTGCACACACACACACCATGTACCATGTACCATGTGTACGCCCGTCGCAAGAGAAGCACGCAAATCTGCCAAAGCACTGGATGTGCACCCACAGATTTTCTCTTATAGCAATCAGACACCCACACACTCTAATTCTCTCTCTCTTTCTCTCTCTCTCTCTCTTCTTTTTTTCACACACTCGCACCCCCCCCCCCCCCCACACACACACATGTGCGCACGCCTTGACCCTGGCACCTTGAATGCGAGTTTCTCTGCCGGAAGGCCAATTGGTGCCTCCTATGAGGCAGCTGCTGGCAAAGAGCTAGATAAGATCCCTGATGCTTTGTCAAGTCTTGGCCACATCTCGCACCTCTGCTCGCATCATCACCCATCAACAATAGACAACACATGGGAAAACTCTACCAGAGTGGACAATGTGTGCATTCACCCTGGTGAGATAACACAGCAAAGGACATGGTCCATCCGTCCCCGCGCAGTGAGGGCACGATAATAGCATTGTGCACGTTAATCCATCTCATATGTGTTATCTCTTCTGTGTGTGTGTGTGTGTGTGTGTGTGTGTGTGTGTGTGTGTGTACTGTTTGTGCTGGTAGACTGCGGGTTGTGGGCCGCCGACGTGCCCTGCTGTGACGAACGCCGTCGAGGCATGCGAGGCGCTGAAGGCATGGCTGCAAGGCTCTGCTGCTCCACGTTGCCTGGAGACCGACGTGGAGTCGGGGGAGAGTGGCGCCACCGCGGCTGTGCCTAGCCCGTCAGAACAGCGCCGTCTCTCTCCACTGCTGCCTACCTGCACACCGGTATCACTATCACAACTCCTCCTCGATGGTAGCACAGCCGTGGCCACACACCAGCATGACATCAGCAGTAGAAGTAACGATGGCGGAGATGATGGGAGCCAGCTGTCGACATTGGCCTGTCGCCCAGCTCAGTCCGAGGAGTGCTGCTCTGCTGCTTCGTACCGCCCGTCTTCGGCTTGCTCCAGCCATAGTGTGCTCTCTGAGTCGCTAGAGGAGCTTGTTGCGGGGGCGCGTGACCCAGTGTGGAAACGGTAAGATATCATTAGTGGTGAAACGAATACTAGAGTGTACTATTCGAATATTCTGAACTGTAACAAATAAACGAACGAATATTCTATTATTCCAATGGACATGCAGCACACGAAATTGCCAGCGATCATAAAATGAGGAATTATAAAACAACCGTGACTCAATATTATCAAGAGTACATACCCCCCAGAGTGTGCAACTCCCACATACCCTGCTGTCCCGACAGAATTTCAAGTTGACGTCATTATTTATGACACAATGCTCCTTGCACCAGTGATTTACAACATGTGTACGGGTGTCAACGCATCACACGTTTTTCTTTGCAATAATTTGTACAGGATCAGATCGGCTTCGGTCAACCACAGGTTCCGGATTCGTCTGATAATTCGTGTACAGTGCGCATTGCATCATCAAAATGACGTCAACTTGATATTCTGTCGGGACAGCACCCATAGTCGAGTTGCACACTCTGGGGGTTATGTACTTTTGATATAATTTCAAAATGAAAGAAAAATGTAATATTCCGGGAGCTTCAAACTTACTGACTGCTTGAACAACTTTCAATGGCAACAAAGTCTGGAAAATCAATCAAGGAAAATGAATGCCAAGAATACTACACAGGACAGATAGACAGAGAGACGCACAGACACACGTACGCACGCACACACACACACAAACACACACACACACACACACACACACACACACACACACACACAGAAAAAAATAGATATATAGAGAGAGAGATAATCACTTGGTGACAAGTTGCATAGACGGCAGCTGCAAAGGAAGGTCATCGTCCAGCACAACATCCAGAGCAACAGGAGCTTCCTTGGTCACGGGCGTACGAAACTCAGGCGGGACAGCATTGCTGGTGTGCACCTTCAGCGACTTGTCTGCTAGAGAAAGATCAGGGCGTCTACGCTCTTTTCCGAGAGACCAGCACGACGCTTGCTGACGATGTGGCTCGCAGCCGAGAACACCCTCTCGGAAGGAACGGAAGTTTGCCGGCACACACAAAATAGCTTTGGCGACCCTGGCAAGATGTGGCAGCCGGTCCTCATTGACGCACCACCACTTCAGTGGATTAGTAGCTGGAGGTGCGGTTGTTTCGCTGAAATACACCTCCAGCCCCCTCTCCACTGCAGCACTGTACGACATCTCCTCCACTGTGTCAGCTCCAAAGAACAAATCCAAGTCTTGAGGAGTACGCTTTGCTGCCGGTTCGGCTGCTGTTGTTGTCTCCTGGCCGTCGGCTATGCAGCGTTGCAGCAGCTCCAGCTTTACCGCTTTCCGACCCGCATCATCCAGGAATGCCAAGGAGCGCGAGCGTGGGTCTAGCGCTGCTGCCGACACGTACGTGCATCCTGGACAAGTCTACCGGGTCCAGGTGAAACTTGTTTCTCAAGCTCAGAAGTCAGCTTGCGACACAGCTGAGCAATCGCAGCTTCGCCATTGCCTCCCGCCTTGCCTGCATCTGCCAGCACGATGGAGTGCAGAGACATGCCGACCGGCATCACACATGAGATTTTTTTGTAAAGAAATAAATAAAAAATAAATAAAAAATGAGATGGTCAGATATTTCTGACCACTCAGAAGGCGTGTCGCTTTCTCCAAAGGAGCCAAGACCTCCATGAGCTGTTCAGCAGTAGCCCAACGCTTCTCTTTCAAGAGCAATGCCCTATGGTCAGCCTTGGGCGTCTTGGCAGTGTCCACCAGAACAGAGGTCACGTGAGGCCTTAGCTCCAGCAGGCGTCGCAACGTATAGTACATGCTGTTCCACCTGGTTGTGACGTCCTGCATCAGGCAGAGTGGCAGCTGGAGGGCTAGCTCGTTCTCCTTAGCATGGCTCACTTGCTGAGCGTGGAGCTGAGCAGTTGCGTGGGAGCTGTGGTGGAAATGCCCCACAAGACGTCGACCCTCAGCTAGAACCTTCTGCTCTGGCTTGCTGCCGTCCAGCGCATGGCGCAAGCACGTCTGCAGCATGTGTGCAGCACACGCAACACCTTGGATATCGCAATCACTATCAGCTTGGACCTTTTAGCATCCAGCCACTGAGCTTTTTTAAACTCTTTTCTCCGTCATGAGTTTCGTATTCAAACTTGGACTTTTGGACGGGTTTTGACAGCCTTGCGCACCTACAAATGTTGGGGTGCAGGAGAAGAAAGGGGAACTGGCAGGGAAAGGATGGGGAAAGCAGTGCTCGCCTATTCCTACCCCGGTTATCTGAATACCGCAATTATCCGAACCCACAAATACCGTAAAGTACCGTTGATCCGCCCCCACGCCATGTCGCTTCCCAGCTGGGTTTTCGGCAGGGGGCGGGAATTAGATCAAGGCTGTCAAGTGCAGTACGATGTACAACAACGTAGAAGTTCAGACTCGATGTGCTGGATTGTGCACATTTTCATCCTGGATTGGCAAATTTTGTGTACAGCAGTGCATGCGTCGGTTCAACACCGTATTTTCGTTGTATACGCCGAAGTCGCTTCACAGGTAGAAAATCGACAGGGGCGGGAATTAGAGAGGGGGCGGGAATTAGAGAGGGGGCGGGAATTAGAGAGGGAGCGGATCAACGGTACTTTACGGTAGTTACATTTCGTATAAATTTTATGATGTTTTTTGTAGTATGTTGTTGACATGTAGTTTTGTGGATTATCGATTGCCTTTTCGAGTGTCTGGGCTGCTGCTGGAGATAGGCTTGCTTCACGTGGTGGCAATAAGAGTGCGCATTGAGATGGAGACAAGATTTGAGCATTACTCTGTGGATGTAAGGGAGATTTGAATTATGAGAGGCAAATGTAAACGTACATGTACAGTAGAACTCCCCAGATCCGGGCAGGTTGGGACCGAGGTAGAACTCCCCAGATCTGGGCAGGTTGGGACCGAGGTAGAACTCCCCAGATCCGGGCAGGTTGGGACTGAGGTAGAACTCCCCAGATCCGGGCAGGTTGGGACTGAGGTAGAACTCCCCAGATCCGGGCAGGTTGGGACTGAGGTAGAACTCCCCAGATCCGGGCAGGTAGGGACTGAGGTAGAACTCCCCAGATCCGGGCAGGTTGGGACTGAGGTAGAACTCCCCAGATCCGGGCAGGTTGGGACTGAGGTAGAACTCCCCAGATCCGGGCAGGTTGGGACTGAGGTAGAACTCCCCAGATCCGGGCAGGTTGGGACCGAGGTAGAACTCCCCAGATCCGGGCAGGCAGGGACTGAGGTAGAACTCCCCAGATCCGGGCAGGTTGGGACCGAGGTAGAGCTCCCCAGATCCGGGCAGGTTGGGACCGAGGTAGAGCTCCCCAGATCCGGGCAGGTTGGGACCGAGGTAGAACTCCCCAGATCCGGGCAGGTTGGGACCGAGGTAGAACTCCCCAGATCCGGGCAGGTTGGGACCGAGCGCTGCCCGTAACTAGGGATTGCCCGTTACTCAGAACTTACATGCACTTACTGCATACAAGTGAAAAATAATACAGTCAGACCTCGCTTAACCGCACACATCCGTTTTCCACAAAAATATCCGGATAGGCTAGGGAACCGGATACTCTAATTTCAGAAATTTTCGGTGCTCAATATTTTCGGTATGAGGGCAACAGGCCAGGTTTGGTGAACAGAAATTTTCGGTACAGAGAAGCAGTTCCCTATTGGATTATGTGTGTTAGTGTTTGTTCGGTGTATTGAAAATTTAGGTATGAAACAGACGCACCGAAAGTACCGAAAATAAAAGTACACCGAAAATTTGGGAAATTACAGTAATCGAACACACATACTGTATATCGTATGCATGACATATGCTGTAAATCGGTAACCAACAATTTTCGTCCGGATGGCGAGGGATCCGGATAAAAGAGGACCGGATAAGCTAGGTCTGACTGTATGCCAATCAATAGGTTTTGGGGCCGTTCTTCGTTTTAAAAGCCATTTTTTTGTGACTGTGAATTGGTCAGAAAGGTGCCCGGTAGACAGACGTGCCCGGATCAGGGGCATTCGGATCTGGGGTTTACTGTACATCACAGCTGGCACTACATTGTTAGGGCCCGGTCACACATGCACTCGAAAGTAGCGGATCCGCTGAAGCGACGTCGCAGGAGCGAAAATACCATGGCAACGGCGAAAAGCGGAACTTCCGCTTCAGCGGAAACTCCGATCCACTTTCTCCAAAATTTTCGAAGCGAGACTGTCGCTTCAGCGGAAAACACCACGGTCTGCTGTATATGGACTTGCTACGAGAAATTTGTATGCGTATGATGTCCATGCAACAAAAATGCGTGCAAGATAGTCATTGACCTCGTCTATTCTCCGTACCGTATGCACCACAGTCCACTTTACTCTCATTTTCCGCCAAAGTAGGAGTTGTGCCCTGTTTGTTGTGTGACCATACACACGTGATTTCGCTGGAGCGACACCAGGCTCGCTGCCGCCGAACCTCGACACCGAACCGAACCCCAGTGCATGTGTGACCGGGCCCCAAGTGTCCGTATAATGGAGGTAGGAGAGTATGTCTGAAATTTTTCTGTTTTCTTTCTGCCGTCCCTGTGTTCTGTCCTTGCAGGATAACACGGCACTGTGGACACGCTCACGTACGCCGGAAACCGATCGAGTGGAGTCTGCTGCGCACCAGGACAATGTTCACGGGTAGCGTGCGCCTGTCTCTGTTGGAGTCAGCGTCGCCTGCCGAGCACGGGTTGGAAATGCCAACGACCGGTGACGCGGCGGTGGATGGTGAAACGGGAATGTTTCGAACGGAGGACGAGGTAAGCACATTTGTGTGCATCGGGTGCAAGCAACATGGCAAAACTAGATCTTTGCGGTATACTCATACCTCGCTTGTCCAGGAGGTCCGTGACCGCATACACGTCATTGGGAAAGGACCAGAGATCTGGCGTATGACATCACTATTTCCACAATATTTGCAAAAGAGTAGTGATGTTTCCACTAAAACTTACCCACAAAAACAAAGTAAATCGTCATGTCCGTTCCCGAGGCAACTCACGACTGCTGCTAACACGCGGTAAGTTCAACTTACACACAGGGTGCCCAATAAACCGAGGTGCCCATAACTTCGAGGTCCGGATAAGAGAGATAGGAGTGTAGTTGCAGAAAAGTTGTTTTCCAACGTGGGAGGTATGCTGGGCTTTTGCATGCTTTGGCTGGTGGCCATGAGGTTGTCATATATCAAGGCGAGTCGGTGGCAGAAACCGCATGCACCTACGTTGGCAGCAACCAGCTGCTTTATGCGGCTTTGCTGCAAGGAATTTGCCACGCTCACCTCGCTCGAAATTTCAACCGTACTTTGCAAGTCCGTAAGATACTGGTATACGTCCTAGGAATGCAGTGCAATGTAGCAGGAGCAAGGCTTCTTCAAACTATCATACAA